CGCGCCGACAGACGCTGGTCGATACTGCACCGGCCGCGCTGCACAGGGATGCAGGGCCTGGCTGCCCCGACGGCCTCATGCCTCCCGGCCCCTTCCCTGCCCGTCCTCCTTCTGCCTGCTTGCTTCTCCCCTTGCTTCGCCCGCCCCGACGCAGCAAAGTAACCTGTGCCCCCATGCAGGAGAGCTGGAAGCATGTGTGTGCATGTGTGTGTACAGGTGTGTGAGCATGTGTACCCTCCACGTAAGCGTATTAAACACCTGCACATGCATATTACCCCTCTGCGTTTGTGCGTGTAATCCCTTTGTGTGTGTTAACTGTGTGTACGTGTTAACTGCATATGCATGTAGGTGCATGTGTTAACCATGTGTGTGTGCATGTGTGTTAACCGTGTGTGCCTGTTAACCCAGGCCAAACTGCTGGGTTTAGGACCAAATCCCCTTTGCTTCCAGAGGGAGCGAGGTTTGTACAGCACCGTGCACCGGAAGAGCTGCTGGAGAGACAGCCTTGCCGCAGGATACGACCCCCAGCTCCACAACAGACCCCCTGGGGGACCCCAGCCAAGCCCCTTCTGCCCTCTAAGCCTCAGTGTCCCCACCTGTGAAATGGGAACCCCACAGTGCTCCCCTCTCCAGGCAGCCTGTCATAAGCACGTACATGTGACACGTACAGCACAGGCCACCTCTAGTCTTGGGGCCAAAACTCCTACAGGGGTAACCAATGAAAGAGGGACTGGGATCCCCAGCATTTAACCCCTGCTTCTCCAGACCGTGCATCATGCTTCCCAAATCCTGCAGGTCTCCCCCTCACTTATGAGCCACTCAGCACCTGTGGGGTCCTGTGTGAAGCCACAGGGTCAGTCCAAAGCAATTCCACTGGGCCGGCCTCCTCTCCCGGAAATGCCAGAATCACACCCATGGGGCCCGATCCTGCAGCATCGGAGAGGTGCCGAGCTGCTGGCTGCAGCCACCAGCCCCTCTGGACGTCTGCTGCAGGGGCAGAACCCAGGCGTCTGGCTCCCAGCCCCACAAACCCAGCCAGGCTCTGCTTCCTGCTCAGCCCCACAGATGTCTCCGGGGATGTTCACGCCCCACCCAAAGCCCCTGGAGCCAAGGTCAGGAGGGGCTTTTTCCACAACCACCCCTGGACTCTGGATCAGGCCTGTAGCAAGGGACCATGACAGAGAAGCAAGGAGCAGCGTGGGGCTCCCAGCTGCCAGCCTGCCTGTCCAGCCCAGCCAATCAGGACAGCTCCCTGGGGGAGATTTGTGTTTTGCATCTCAATTCCAGCTGTGCTCTTCAGCCTCCCCCAAAGTGCAGTGAAGCCTGAGTGTGCTGAGATCCTGAACTGGCAGCTCCCCACAACTGTCCTGCCCCCCACCCCTCCAGGCCTACCTGCTCCCAGCAGCAGCCTTAGGCCAGTCGGTCCCAACTACACTCAGCCAAGCGGCTCCCAGGACTCCTTAACCCACTCCTGGCTGGCTCAAGCCCCATGGGCATTTGCACCCATTTTTTCCCCCAGCACTCACAAATTCCCAGTGCCGCAGATCCCCAATGACCCCATCTCCTCTGGCGAGGGGAGTGGAAATGGAGCAACTGAAACATCCCAGCACTGCCAGGGCCAGTGGGGCTGGAGGGGCAGGCAGCCAGGGGCCCACAGCTCCTCTCACTGCCCCACCGCAGCTGCCCACAGCCCAGCCTGACCCCACTTAGGCCTCAGGGATGGAAAAACTCAGGCCCAGATAGTTAAGGGTTAGACTGGGGGGGAGCAGGGAGCAGCCAGGGGCCTGGGCACTTCCCTACCCCAAGGTCTATGGCAGGGGCAGGCAATTATTTCGGGTGGAGGGCTGCTTACTGAGTTTTGGCAAGCCATTGAGGGCTGCATGATAGGCAGCCGGGGGCAGATAGATATTAATTTTCTAAATTTTTTAGGGTCCCCGCAGGCTGGATAGAATGACCTGGCCGGTCGCATCTGGCCCGCGGGCTGCATTTTGTCCACCCCTGGTCTATGGGGTCAGAGTGATGCCATAGCTGTGATGGGTCAGGAATTATGCAAGGAGCCAGGGTTTCCCTACTGGCATCACGTGGCTGATTTCTACTGGTTCTTACTGGTTTACACAGGAAGAGCCAAGTCTTCTCTGCCTCAGGGAGATGGCAAATCCAGATGTTTGCTGTCACAGCACCCGGCCACTAGGAGGCAGCAGAGCCCCTGGCATAGAGCAAAGGGCTCCTCCAGGGACCAGTGCAAGGGTGGGGAGGGGTGTATTTTCTTGCATACAACACGCTGCCAGATACAAGCTGCACCCTGCTTTCGGCAGGCAGAAGGAAGGAGAAAAGATGGTTCCTCAGTCGCTTTCAGTGATCGCGTAGCAGGAGTTTCTGCTGAGGGGGCAAAGAGAAGAGGGAAAAGGCAAGTACTAGGGTGCCCTACATAGCACACTGTATCTTCACCCCTGCAGAGGGAGATACTGCTAATATTGTGTTTCCACACTTCACACCCCGATTGCTGCAGCTAAAATGTAAAGGGAGGGTGTTGTGTGTATTAGAAGATACAGTAGCTTTCCTTGGGAGGGGGGCAGCTCAGAGCAGGGTGAAGCAGTGTGTGATTCCTCCCCTCCACTTTATTGTGGGATAAAAGTCAAGTGACGCTGTAACAATCACACCGCAGGGCCCCAGCTGGGTGCATTCATCTTGCCGCGCCCTGGGGAGACAGGACAGCACGGTGACCCACATGCTGCTACGGAGGAAGGAACTGCAGCAGGACAAGAGGCTTGCCCAAGGCTGCACGAAGAGGCCATGGCAAAGGGGGCATGAGCCCATGGTCCAGGCTGGTGCCATCATCACTGCGCCACCCTTCCTCTTTCCAGCATGACAGAGAGATGCCAGGACCCAAGCCCTTGGAGCTCTGTGGGTGAAGAGGTGGCTGCCTGGAGCCAGGCCCCTAATTAGCAGTATTAATTAGTGAAGACAAAGGAATGCATGCGATATGACCCACCTGGCTGTCTCTGCCACCCCCCTGCCCTTGACCCATGTTGGGCAGGGGAGCATGTCCCTTGCCCAGCAGGTCCCCATATGACAAGCCACTGGGTCCCTCTGGTGGCAGAGGCAAGGGGACCAGGCCTCAGGATGCCTGGGTGCTATGCCCCCCGCTTTGGTCCCAGTGTGCAGGTTGCTGCCTGGCTCTATGCCTCAGTTTCCCCACCTGTGCATCACAGCTAATGACGCAGAGCTCTGCCCAGGACCCCAGGGGATGCGTTTCCTTGCAGCTGCTCAGTTTGATAGGAGGGATAGGGCTGAGACCAAACAGATTCATCATACAATGCATAAGCAGGAGCCGGTGCCAAAGCGACGCTGCCCCAGCTCTATTGGGGGAGACAAGAGCGACAAGGAGCACAAGACAGCACCTGAAGGGGATTTTATTAGAAAGGGCAGTTTAAAAATCAACAGCCATTCCCCTTAGAGCCGTGGGGCTCCGTGCTGGGCAGAGATCTGTGGCCACAAGTCACAGAGGGGAACAAGATGGCATGGAGGCTCCTCTGCAAGTGACCACCACCAGAGCAAGTCAGCTGTGAACTGGGTGGAGGGAAACAGGCCCCCCTATTTCTGCCCTGGTCCAGAACTGGGACCCTCCAGCTGCAGGCAACATTCAGGCCCGGTGTGTTGCAGCCGAGGATAGAGGTGACGGAGAGTGGCAGGTGGATTTCAGAGAACGGCCACGAATCCAGCTTGTTCACCCACGTCAGACCAGGTCCCCAAATCCCCAAACCCAGCCCAGAGCTCTTGCACAGCTCACTTCTAGACCTAGAGGCTGCAGGCAGCAGGGACCACAGCTCTATTTGGTGTCCGTTTGATGCACAGGACAGCAGCCAGGGGCTTGGGCAAATAAATGAATGATTTCCAGCTGCACTGTGCTAACTGCCGCTATGCACACCCTGGCCTCTACAGTGAATGAGAGGAGCAGTTTGCTGCGGTTCCCAGGGACAAGAGCGGGCACATGGGCAGCGAACACAGAGCAGGCAGAGCCTTGTAGCCAGCTCCTGCCCTTTCCTGCTGTCAAAGAGGCAGCTGAGAAGGAAGCTCCTTGTTCTCCCCTCTCCAAGAGCCCTGTTAACAAGGGGGCTCTGACTGCTCTCTCCTCCCGGGGGTGATACATGGCATAAGGGATGCCAACCTGGGGGGTGACGGGGGGGGAATTAATAAGGTACCAAAATGAACAGTGATACAGGCAAAACTAAGACCCACGTCCCCAGCTACTGTGTGGGTAGCTCAGCAGAGCTGTGCCTGCAGGTTTCAGTACTCATCTGCAAGAAACAGGCAGACAGGAGCAGCTCAGCTTAGCTGTTGTGCCTGTATCTCTGCTGAGTGCAAATCTCATCTGGTCCTGTCCGTCTGTCATGCAGGGGGGTAGAGCCAGCAGGTCCCACACCCCCCCCCCTTCTTCACTCCCCACAAAGCATTGACTAGCACCTGAGGTCACTTTGCCCTGATCACCAGCAGCCCAGTCCGTCCACTGCTCCAGCTTCATGCTGATCCAAGAAGTGCCCGTGTGAGACTAGAGCAGCACAGCTGGGTACCGGGGAAGGAAACAGAGGAGCTGGGGGGTGGAGGGGATTGTGCCCCACTGGCCTTGGAGGCTATGACCCCCATGCTAGCATCCACCAAGGGCACCAAGCTCAGACCCCAGGTCCCTCCTGCCCTTCATGGCAATGAGCCAGGGCATGGACTTCCAGCCCCTCGATGTATAGGTCCTATCCAAGCTACAGTGCCCAAGGCATATTCTCCATGTGGCAGGGGCCCATGCAGAGCAGGGCATGCGGGCAAGAAGCCTCAAGGCAGCTCCAGCTCTTACCAAGGGCCATGCATCCTCCAGTTGGGGGGAGCAGGAAGGGGGCATTGCCCCGCTCCAGTCACATGCCAAGTACCAGGCACCCTTCACTCCAGAGCAAGAGAGCAGCACACAGCCCCCCTGGACAGTCTCTGCCAGGGGGTCAAAATGGGGGCCAAGCGGCCCAGAGACGCAGACCTGCATGTAGCTAAGTGTTCACAGAGGACAGACAATTTGACCGCACACGACCCTTCCAGCACAGCCACCTCAGGCCATGAAGGGGGCAAGGGGGAATCTGCCAAGCCCACCCCATACCAGCCTATGCAAACCCGCCCTCCACGGAGGGTAGTTCTGTATGCATGGGTCCTATCCTACATCGAGGGGGCCACGTTTCGTGGCGTGGCCGGCCAGGGTGCTTAGGATTTATTGAAGGCTGCAAGGACAGCCCAGATCATCTCCATGGCTTGTGCCTTGCCACCCTCCACCTCGGGGTCCATCTCCAGCAGGTCCTTTGAGCGGCTCATGGCCATCTCATACTTGTCGTCAGCCAGCGTGGAGAAGACGTTCTCCAGCACGTCCGAGGAGTGGGCCAGCACCAGCAGGGCCAACGTCCGCCTATCCATGCGGTGCGGGTCGTTCACCCAGCGGTCTAGGACACTCTCCTGCAGCTTCTTGACGAGGCGTTGCTTCTCGGTGGTGTTGGTCACAGGGTGCGTGGTCATGTCAAAGAGCAGGAAGTTCTGCTTCTCCGTGGTGAGGATACCCTTCTCCACCAGGTTCTTGGCGATGCGCTCGCGCACGTTACGCAGCTGGTACTGCAGCTTGAAGGGGTTCCAGGTCTCGCCTGTGGGAAAAGCAGCCAGGGGTGTGGGGGTAAGGGGATGACTCTTTTCTTCTGCACCAAGGCATCAGCCAGATGCAGAGACCAAGCCCACCTCCCACACCTTGCCCAGGCCCCAACTGACCACCACCCTCCATTGAGAGCTCTGTTAATGCACCCCCTGCCTAGCCCCCAGCCATTTCAGCCTGGGACTA